AGCCTGTGGAGGAGAAGTTCTCTATTGTCTGCAAAAGCAATGAGAAACTAACACGTGCACACAGCGCTGCCAGGGACAATAGAGCCCTTCCACGACACCAGGAAGGCACCAGACAATGGCACCTCGCCTCCTCCTGGCCAGGTGACACAGAGCTGGCCAGCTCAATCCCAGGGAATCTCCGTGGGGAGCGCCCCAAAGGCACACAGCACCTGTGCTGCCCTTCTGGGAGCAACACCAGCACACAGTTTGGGGTATTCCAGGACTGCTTCACACCCATATTTAGAGGCACTAAGAGGGGCCAAATCAGACAGAAAAGACTTGATCTACGCCCCACAAAGGAGCAGTGAAACCCTTGCTCCAGAACACAGGGGTTCTGAGGGAACAAAGGGGTTCTGAGGGAAAGCAGCAATACCTGGAAGCTACTTTGTCATCTAATTTACTAAACAGTTTTTAATAAAGAGACATGGATGTAACACCAGAAACTAGACAAAGCATTATTCTGGCAGGACCCAAAACCATGAAAGCGCAGAGAAAGGGGTAACATTCCACAGTCAGGGAACAGCACATTGGTGCAAGCACAGCATCTGTGTGGCCAGACACGTGGATGTGACACCTTGGGGACGTGGTTTAGTGGTGGTTGGGCAGTGCTGGGTTAATGGTTGGACTTGATGATCTCAGAGGTCTTTTCCAACCTGAATGATTCCACGGTTCCATGCTCCTCAGAACCACCCATCCAAAGCAAAACGTTTCCTGCCGGTCCCAGGTGCAGGTCTCTAACCCTCAGAGTTTATAAAAAAAGGCATCTGATCCAAACCTTGATTTTCACTCCCTAATGGAAAATTGCCCGGGAGCTCAAAACATCACCAACGGGTTTAGAAACAACCGGCCCTAAAAACGTCATGAGTGGCCACCCTACAATTTTCATATACGGGATGATGATAAAACGTAAGACCAGATATGATTATAAAGATCTTGGTGGGGCTCACACCACGGGTTTTTGGAGTAGGCTAGTCCTGAGTCAGATCACTGTGCTCCTTCCATCCCCAAATCCATAGCCAGGGATTGTGTCAGAGGCACTGAGAGGGACAGACAGCGTCCTTGGGACAGGAACAGGTGCCTCAACACGGAAAAGCCGTGTAGAACATGTTTTAATAGCTAAGTCATTTCCACAAGGCTGCTCAGAACTACTCCTGAATAAATCACAACCACTCCACACTGACTAAGACCTCTCCCCACTCTTTTAATACATCCAGGAAACTTTTTCTTATGAAAGGCTTCTGTTTTTTAATCCTGGGATCAACAATAAGTCCACAAAAGAACCAGAAGAAAATTAAGACTCGGACTGTTTCAGTTGCCCATTGGGACGCAAGGGAGCCTCATCCCCAGGGGATTCAGAGGAACTGGACTGTTCTCAGACTTGCACCAGGGAGTTTTATCTCAGATTATGGTTCTTTGAGAGGGAGGGGAACGAAGAGAGCGAAAGAAGTTCCCCAACGAAGGGGGCTGAAGAAATCCTTGTCTGAATTTGTCAAGAAACCGCTTGCTGAGGGCCTGGTGCCGCTGAACACCCCGAGACACGGTGTACTCACGTGTAAGCTCGGGTGGTAGGTCAGCACCCCGTTGTCACACAACGTCACGTACTTCTTCTTCCACTCCTTGTTCAGTGACTTGCCACTCCTCTTCAGCAGCATTCCCTGTGAGGGGGAGAGAGGAGAGGTTAAACACCCTCTGGCCAGTGCACACCTGCTTGAGACCCTGCAAGAGAGACCACTGCCAGCATTTTCAGATGCGCTTTCTCCTGCAGGGACTCGTTCTCCCCTGCCCCTCCCATGAGGAACGCTGCCTCCATCAGCAGCTTCACTGTTTTGCCTTTTAGGAGGAAAGGCTGTCCAACACCAAGCCAGAAGGCAGTTCCCAATGAATCATACAGAACTTTGGTTACAGGAGTCTTACTGGAATGTCCAGGTGGACAGTACCTAGCACACAGATACACTCGTGCCAGAGACACAAGCACACTCTTCACTGAATCACAACCAGGAATCTAAACCAACACAAACTGCAGCTCCCTAATCCCCACAAAGTGAGGTTGTGCCTTCTCATCTGCCAAGGCCATCAAAATAAAGGGAAATCAGAACACAGAAAGATGCCCTGCAAAGAGCACGGTGCTTCTGACTGCCATGGAGTTGTTCCTGTCCAAGCAGCTTAAAGCCTTGACAGCAAGTTCTATGTTTTCCCATTAAGCCTGCAGCTTTATGAAGTCTCTGCAGAGCCGATCCCAAAGCCAGGAGGGGGCACAGGCCAGTTCTGCCCAAGCACAAGTCCTCCAGAGCCAGCAGAATTCCAGATGTCACAGCTTCCAGTTGAAGTCCCTTGCCACTCTCCACACAACCCAACAGCCCTCCCTGTGCAACATCAGGGGGGATCCCAGTGGAAAAGCCCCACTCACACACCTGCCTGCTCCTGGCCACGCACTTGGGACACAACTTGAGAGGGGAACCCTTCCCAGCTCAGCCCAAGCCGTGGATGGGGCCGTGGAGAAAAGCTCGTGCTGGATCCCTGAATTAACACAGCGACCCAAACCCCCAACTCCCCGCCTGCCTGGGGATCACGTCCTCGTTCTCCTTGTGCTGTTCCTTGCCACAACTGGAACTTTTTCAAGGAGAATGGGGCTCCTGCACCGCCTCCTCACAGAAGCTCCCGCGGCACAGCCCAATTACCGCGTGCCAGTGGTGACAGACGTTGTTTTCCTTCTATTAAAAAAAAAATGAAAGCTTGTTTCTGCCTTTGACTCGCCTGTTTGTCTATAGGAGGTGATCCGTGGCTTCACCTTTCCCATCTTTCATACCTCACCTGCAGCACGTTCGCTGCCGTTCAGGGGGACCCAATTCTAGTTAGTGCTGTGCCGTGGGGATCAAAAATTACACTCTCCCTGCACTGGTTTGTTCTTCAGACCTTTTAATGGGGGGAAAAAAAAGGCAGTAAAAAACACAGTGGTGATCTTTTTTTTCCCCCCTCTTTTTTTTTAATTTTTTTTTTTTTTTTTTAATTTTCGGACGAATTAAAGTTTATGTACTTCACTCCTTTGCCATACAGACAACATGTAATTACTTCCATAATTATCAGTTCAATTATCAATTGCCAATTATAAACTCAACAAATAGTAAAAACCTACTACAGTCATGATTTTTACCCCACAGAAGCTTTGCTACTGTCTAGGTGTGAATTCTGACATTCTAGCCATGGTTCTAAATGAAGAAATTTATCCAAAATGAGGTTTCACCGTACTTTTAAAGTGGAATTCTGTGCTTGATGTAAAACAAAAAAAAAAAAAATTCCAGCTCAGCGTTAGATGTGAATGATGTACCTATTTGTGTGCCTAACTAACAAACCAGACCTCCCCATCCATTTCCTTCAGGCATTCCTTTGGCAAACACATTCATTTTCACATAATGTGAGAATTAAAGGTATCTTAAAGTACCTGGAGAGGAAACTGTTCTGAACACAAGGACTTGGTGTTATAAAGTGAAGTAGCCCATATAAACCACATTTTTCCCCCTCAGGGCCACCAGTTTGTGATAATTTCATAGAATGATCTGGAGAAATGGTCGTAGAATCCGAGTTTATATCAGTTATAAATGCACTTTAACGTTAACTAAATTTAAAAAAAAAAAAATAAATGGCCCTGATATGACAAGAAATGTTCCTTTGCTTCAGTCACTTCATGTTTGTGTTTAAGTCACATCAGATACTGCGCCTGGGAAATGAGTTCCAGGGGTTCCCAATGACCTCTGGTACCTGTGAGGCAACTGAGAGGCATCTTGAACACATCCCCAGTTCCCCTCAAACAGGTCCCCACCTACACAGAACACACTGCAAGCCCCACCTCTGGTCCCTAAGCTGAGCAGTAAGAGACCAAGACCATCTTCTGCTTCCAAATACCCTTTTTTTTTTTTTTGTCTAAATAATCTCTGCCTCAAATTATTATTAATTGATAACATCATTTTCCCTAATTTGCACGAAACCTTTCATTTCTTAGTCTTCCATCTGCGGTTGGGTGCAGCTGACCTCCAGACTCAGCACCGAGGATTTAACACCTCCAATTTCCACACAAACAGGGAACAATTTCACACTTTTTTTT